GGTATATAAAAATATCTCTATTATTCAAGTTTTCCAAAAAATTAAAATTATAACAAAAAGCAAGAAAAAAAGTAAATTTTATTAAATGGAATAGTTGGAAAATACTAAATTACCTATTGTAACAATAGTTATAACATCCGAGGTAAAAAAACTATACAATAGGTAAGGCTAAATATTCATAATTTTACTTTCCCGCACTAGTGCGGGAAAGTGATTTTTTCCCGCACTAGTGCGGGAAAGTGACACTTTCAAAACTAAAATGCGTGCGGGAAAGTGGGTAAAAATACACGGTCGTAGAAAAAATATATTTTTAAATCTTTTTATTTTTCAAACTTCAAAATGTAACGTAATAATTTGTAAAGTATATTACAATTGGTACTTTTTCTAAGATCGATCTCACTTTAATACCGTTCAACTGTTCATTTGCTTTTAAGATATATTTTATCTAGTTTAATGACCAACGGAGTCAACGAACAGTGCCAATTTGCCAGTTGGTTAACTTACTGTGTTGATGTTTATATTTTATTTGGCTTTGGTAACGCCGCGCCAATCGCATCCAAACGTAGGTCAGAGTACCACATTATTCCACCAATAGACCAGTGAACGCTAAATGCAACGTATGCTGACTGACAAGTTTTTCTAACTTTTTCGTCAAATAGAATATTTTGCAGATGTGTATTTATAATATTAGTATACAAGGGGACTATCAACTACCAATTTTTTACACAGAACAGGTGTTTGAGCATAACATAAGCTCTTTATTCCTGTTTAGCAAATTTAACTAGTATTAAGGTGTGAATCTGTTAACAAAAATTAAAATAGCAATGTACCAAATACGGAATGGTGTGGTCCGTAATTTGGAACCCACAGGTAAATGGTTTCTATTGCAATGGAAAGACGTCAAGGGTAAACATAGGATACTCTACAAAAAATGTTTAGGTTGGTGCCATGTCGACTTATTTATGTATGAGTTTTGTAAAGGAGAAAGAATACGTTCTTCTGATAAATCCGATGCAATTCTTTCATGTTGACTGATTAGCTTTTTCATATAGCCTAAAGTAATAAAATGTTTCGTGTAAGGGTTCTGTTTTATTTTTCCTTAAAACATGTGTTCCATATTAGGAACATATTTCGTATTAGGTACAAACAAACAATTTTCTATAGAATATTTTTCTGTGACTCCTGTATAATAGATTTAATATTTTGAATAATAAATTATGGTTTTCAAAGACGTAAAAAATCTACACAAAAACAAGTCTGAATTTAATGTGTACAAAAACAAAACGGTATTCCATATTTGACTCACTTCCTCTACTCCCATAAGATGCGAAACCATAAAAAAGATCAATTTTCAAATAAGAATGTTATTACCTTAAAACTTTAAATGATAATAGGTCTGTTGGATATGTAGGTTTCTAACAGTTGAATCCAACACAAATTATAAGTACGGCCCTAAGGCACACTTACCAAGTGGACTGTCTCCTGTCGCTGCTAGCTGCAACAATCACCATATGGACAATTAAATTCCAACACTAAAAAACTATTTATTGTGCAAAAACGCTGCACGACAACTTTTAAATTTGTATATATTTATATTATTTTATTTAACTACCTACATGTTTAATACTGCACTAGGACTTCACATTTTGTTTTGTGTACTATCTTTGCTCAGAGAAGTGATTTTTATATAATATAAAAGAATTGTCATGATGCTGGTGAGAGCCGATCTTTATTTTATGAAAGCATGAACCTCTCTGCCACATACTTTGATTACTATACGGGGCAAGAGAGAGGTCCGACACGCCCAACATAGGGCGCGGCCATTTTGATTCCTATGATATAGTTAAAGAATCAGATCGCTCACTCTGCGTCGGCACTTTTGATCTCAATGTTCCAGTTTATACACTGCGCAACTCGAATAATACAATATATGACAACCGCCTATAATAAAACAGCAGTCTTCTGCGTATCCTGAATTTGTATCCCTGGAGTAGATGTTATTTTGGAACTTTCAACTGGTCCGAGTGAGCTAACTGATTCTTTAGCAATAAACTGTGACTCCAAAAATAATATTTACTGACACCACATACTTTGATTTTCTTTTACTATACGGAGAATGGTCGCACTGCACAGCTTTCTGAGTGCCTTTTAAAAGGAGATAGAAAACTCCGCCATTTTGAACCCTTATTACGTATTGCCTACATCTTGGCACAATATTTTTAATAGGTGCGTTTTAATCATCCGCTTCTGCTTCAGAATTGTCGGTTTTCTTGTTTTAATCTGACAGGTTAGAACGACTGAACCGACAATTCCGGAAGCAGAAGCGGATGATTAAAACGCACCTGATATTTTGCTTGCTGCTGTCGCAGTGTCAGTGAATCACATACTTTGATTTTCTTTTACTATACGGAGAATGGTCGCACTGCGCAGATTTCTGAGTGCCTTTTAAAAGGAGATAGAAAACTCCGCCATTTTGAACCCTTATTACGTGTTGCCTACATCTTGGCGCAATATTTTTAATAGGTGCGTTTTAATCATCCGTTTCTGCTTTGGAATTGTCGGTTTTCTTGTTTTAATCTGACAGGTTAAAACGAATAAACTGACAATTCCGGAAGCAGAAGCGGATGATTAAAACGCACCTGATATTTTGCTTGCTTCAAAAAAGGAGGAGGTTATCAATTAGTCGCGATATTTTTTTTTTTTTTATGTATGTATGTTCAGCGATTATTCTTTAACACGGTGTCCGATTTCAATGATTCTTTTTTTGTTAGAAAGAGGGTACTTCAGGGGTGGTCCCATATATATTTGGTCAAAATCTACTAATTGGGCCAATGAGAAAATCCTCAAACTCTTCATTTTTTATGTATGTTTAGCAATAATTCTTTAATAAGGTGTCCGATTTCAATGATTCTTTTTTTGTTAGAAAGAGGGTACTTCAGGGGGTGGTCCCATATAAATTTGGTCAAAATCTAATAACCGGTCTATGAGAAATTCCTCAAATTCTTCATTTTTCATGTGTTTAGCGATAATGCTTTACGACCTTGTCCTATTTATATGATTCTCTTTTTTGTTAGTAATGGGGTACCTCAGGAATGGCCACATATAAATTTGGATAAGATGTGCTGACGGCATCTGCACGTTTTTGAAGTCGGTTTTTTTAAATTTTTAATTTAGATCACTTGTATGAACTAATGTAGGCACTTTTTTTGTTTAATGAAAAGTTTTTGGTCATAAAATTGTTTTTTACGTAGAACAAAAAATTAAAAACCAACCTAAATGTTTACCAACATTTTTAAAATCGATAGAAACCAAAAAATATGATTTCAGCTGACGAATAAAGTTACTATATTTATAAGTTTGTATTATCTAGTTTTTGCTTTGATTTGTAATAATGGTCCCTTTATTTGTGGCCAATATATTAGCTGTTGAAGAGGAGGAACGACTATACCATCTTCGTTTGGAAAATATAGATAGGCGAGTAATGAGAGAGACAAGCAATCCATTCTCTATAGAAAATGTAAGATTTGTAGAGTTATTTCGATTAAATAAAGATATGTCCCAGTATACAGGGTGGCTCACGCTCAACGGGACGGAGCTTTATGGGAAAACGACCAAAGATATAAAAAATTCGTTTGGGAGGAATACGTAGGTTACAGACGGCTACAATTTACAATTTGTTAGATGTATACAGGATGTCCCACATAAGAAAAAAAAAATTAGTTCATTAAAAATTAGAGAGACTTTTTTTCCTTAAAAATTCAAATAAATCGAAAACTAATAATAATAGTAATAGGGAACCTTTAGTTAACTGACATTATTTTTGATGTAGTTTTTAATTTTAAAATAAAAAACAGGGTGTTCCATTAAAAATAATATAACTTTGTATATTTTCTCTTATGTGGGACAATCCTGTATACATCTAACAAATTTTAAATTGTAGCCGTCTGTAACCTACGTATTCCTCCCAAACGAATTTTTTTATATCTTTGGTCGTTTTCCCATAAAGCTCCGTCCCGTTGAGCGTGAGCCACCCTGTATATTAAATGGAATTACGTCGAGAGCTAAAGAGGAAATACGGCCATTATAAACACCTTCTCAGGGGAATGGATTCGGTTTCCTAGAACTCTACAGGAAAAACAACAAATTTAGTTATGTTTTATAGAAGCAAGAAATTTTCCCGGGATAATAGGAGCAGTAGATTGTACCCATGTTGAAATCCTGCGACCAAATGAAGAGAAAAATAAGTGAATTGGTTTTTTTTTGGAAAAGGGCACATCTACTTACATTTAATTTATTTGTGATCTTTTCCAAACTTTTTTACAATAAAAGATTAAAAATAAAAATCTGATACATTATTACATAGTTTTACAATGACATTATTAAGTAAGTTTGGAGACCTCTGTCGGCCAGTCAAGTATCATACTGTAAAATTATTTGTTTTATTGAGGAATATCCTGGATTAAAGATTTCAAATTATTAACTTTTTTATGCTGATGCTGTGGATGTATGTGCCTCTTCAACCGGAAGATTCACCTTGGACCTAGCAGATTTTGCTGTTAAAAAAATATGGCAGAATAAACCTATTATAATGTTTACACCACACACCACAATAAAAAATTCACTTGATTTAACAACAAAGCTAATGGCTTTACCGTAATTCTTATTTTTACGTTTGTTACTTTTTTTTATTCGAAATTAGATCCAATGTCATAATGTTTTAAAATCAAAACAAAAATGTATGACGGTTTGCCTACTTTAGTAGAAAACTATATGTCTTGACGTCTCCCTTCGTGGCGATAGTTACAGTCGACTCCTGGCGATTATTTTGAGACACAGAGTGCCAATCGATAGAATTGAAGCGACCGGTAGAATTCTATATGACACGGAGTCCCTGTGCTGGCCCACAGTGCGTCGCCAAAAAAGTTTGAGGAACACTGCTCTAAAGCCATTGGAATGAAACACCCCAAATTTTAATCTAAGACAAGACCACTCCGTGAGCACATAGTCTACACAGAGTCATTTTATTTTTGTCATTATGACATATTATATCATGATATAAAATCAGTCAGTGATAAATTACTCAAGTCTCCATTTTCCATCTACATTTTCATCCATCCCATCCCATTTAAATTTATGTTCATTTTCATCATTCATTAGCATGAAAGATAATAAAAGCTATTTAAAAAATGGCGTAGAAAATATATTCGTAACGATATTATTAAGTGAATCGACTACCAGCTTTTTGAATTTGAATCTACCTCACGTTGAACACATGCATCCAGACAATTCGAAGATCTTCATCATATCTCCGGAACATTATAAACATACTAATAACAGAATAGGAGAGGAAGGTTTGGAGTTTTTATTATTCTATAATTTCTAAGACTAAAGAACCCTTTAAATTAACATGTTTTAGATCTAATGAAACATATCAAAGACCGTGATAGATTTGTGCAAATTAAATACATTTCCGATCCTGGAACAAGCGGTACTAATAGCTCTAGTGACTTTACTGAGAGAAGTATGCAAACTGGTATATCAGATGAAGATCTTTACAGGACGCATCTAAAAATGGCATCAGATGTTGGCTTATTTAAAACTAACTTTTCGTCGAAATCCTCATGTGGCTACGGTAAGTAACAGTAAAATTTGTATGCAAATAAAATACATATGGCAATTCAGATATGGAATGTTTCCATCCACCATATTTACCGTTTTTTGTGTTATTACGGAAAACTCGGAAAACTCCACTTACGTTCATAGACAAAATATCCTGGTCGCCATATAGGTACTCTGTTTTAAGAGTTCAGCTACGTAAAAACAATATGCGATTTTAAATCAGATACTATGTCTTGAACAGTGGTGCAAGGACCATTCACTGTCTATCAATCCTAAGAAGACAGAAATGGTCCTTTTTACAAGGAACAGGATGGATATGGAATTAAAACCTCCAGAACTCCTAAACACAAAACTAAACTTTGCGACAGAGGTGAAGTACCTAGGTCTCACCTTTGACAGCAAGTTAACATGGAACTCGCATTTAGAAAATAGAGTTAAAAGAGCATACATTGCTTATGAACAATGCCGCCGAACCGTGGGGCGCACCTGGGGTTTCTCCCCCAGAGTCGTGACATGGACTCACATGGCTATCATAAGACCTATGCTAACATACGGTGCAGTTGTCTGGGTACCGAAAACCCAAAAATTAACAGCTATCCGTAAACTAGAACAAATTCAAAGAACAGCATGTCTCAACATAACAGGAGCCATGAAAACAACACCGACCAGGGCCATGGAAGTCATTCTTAGTCTCATTCCCCTTGATATTTACATCAAGGAGGTTGCTCTGACGACAATGACACGCCTCTGCATGGTTGGATTAGAACCTGATGTAGGATCTGGTGAGGCGAGACGTGGCTTTTGGCAGGAGGCGCTCGATACGCTCTCACTGCTTCAAGCTAACATGGACTCCATCTCACCGAGATATATCTTCCATAAGCCATATAAAGTTATACTAGAACAAATAGAAGAGCCGGAAGTGGCAGTTACGATTCATATCTACACCGACGGTTCTAAAACAAAATAAGGCTCAGGATGTGGAATAAACTCCAGATTCTTGAACCTAAACATAAAATGGGCTGTGAGCAATAGTGCCTGTGTAGTTCAAACAGAGCTAACGGGTATTCTCATATCAGCAAAAGAAATAACCAGAAACAATATCACTGGAAGAAACATGCTCATCTATACAAATAGCAGACAAGCACTACTCACCCTGAACAGACCACGAATTTACTCAGGGTTAGTACTAGAATGTCACGAAGCTTTGGCCGAAGTATCCATTAACAATGTCGTCACCTTAAGATGGATCAAAGGTCACGCCACATCGAAAGCTAACCGTCTTGCTGATTCACTAGCCAAGAAAGCAGCCAACCAAATACTTTTTAGACCTGGCCCTTCTATTGGCCTGACAAAATCGGTAGTGACAGACCTAATCAAAGAACATTCCCTTGTGAAATTCAAGGAAAGACGGGATGAAACAAGAAACTGCAGAGTTGCCAGGGAGCTCTTAAGTTATCCTGACAACACTGCAGGAAATAAATACTTGACTATGACTAGACAGAATCTGCGCCTAGTTACAGGCATTCTGACTGGTCATTGCCAAGTACGAAAGCATCTCCATATCATGGGGCTGTCAGAATCCGCACTCTGCAGAGGGTGCGAACAAGAAGATGAGACCATCGAGCATATACTTTATGATTGCCCGACGCTCTCATTTATTAGAAGATTTGTGTTCGGTGAGTATCGGCTAACACCGGCCGATATAAGAGAAGCACCTCTTGGCGACGTTGTCAACTACATAATATCTGTGGGCTGGCTCACGAGCTAGGAGGTTCCTATCATCTCAGGAGGATGCACAATGGTCCTAATGAGGCCTAAGTGTCGTGGGGGCAACCCACCCTCCACACGTTACAGAGACAGATACTATGTCTTGAATATGTTTGACTACATTGATATAAATCAAAAACAATGACGTCATATTGAATATTGTCTTGAAATACTCAAGTTTAACATGACTACAGTAAAAACGTGGTCCTTTTTTTTTCAGTTCATAGTAGGATTCATTTATATTGGGGTAGGAGCTAGCTAATAATAAACAAAAAATATCAAAAAATAATGTATGCAACAAAATATATTAAATAATTTAGAAGTGTTGCATTATAATAACCTTGAAAAAAATGAATTCTAGTAATTGCCGCGTTTGAATATCCACATCGGATGCATTTTTTACATCTCGAGCGTTTGTTTATCCACATCGGACACATCTGTCCTACTACAACTTTGGAAGCCTATATCTGACGTTGGCGACATCGCATCGGTATGGTGCTATTAGAACTTTGTTTATGATATCAAAATTAACAAAGGAGACAAATTTCCATGGTGGGGCCTATAATACATGTTCATTGCTAAAATGACATGTTTGCCCCAATATGGCGGCCACTTGGCGACGCCCCAGAGGTATGGCGTTTTGAAATCTTTGTTCTACAGCTCATTGTTAACCAAGATCACGAAACAACAGCGTGGGGCCCATGATACATGTCCACAGTGAAAAAAGTACGCGTTACGGTAAGTATGGCGGACCTTAAGTGACACCATATTGGTATGGCATATTGAGTTCGCGGACTTTGGCAACCTCCTTGACGACATAAAACATGAATTAAAGTGGGGCCTATGAGCCTGGGTCATGGATATTAATTACACGTTTGAAAATTCACCCCCCTAAAAGCTACACTTTAGGAGTGCCATACCGGGAATTCAAAGTGGGGAATAACGTTGTCTATCAGCCCCCAAAGTCTCGTCGTCCGGCCTATGATACATGCAAAAACCCTCTTGCCTTCCCAGACAGCACACCAAATCCTTTGGATATCTACTGAACATCCCAATATCCACTGAATGTCCAGTCCATGGTAGATATCTATTTTATATCCATGAAATGTAATTTATAGACATGCAAATGTCCATAAATAATAGTAATTATTAAAAAATTACGCCATTGTGGCTAATAGTACCGTTCAGATATTTAAAATTAATTTTTTTAAGGTGTATTCAATATCCCATGAACATCCATTAAATATATCAAAGTCTAGGCGCGAACGCAAACCATCGTGGATATCCACTAGATGTTATTTGATTCTGCTTACTAAGTATAGATGGCGATACCACTATCGCATCTACTCATGCTCGACCCGCCGTAATTGAGTTCGATCGAAATGTGTGTCCTAATCACTCCATTAGGGACTGGAGTCGAGAATTTTCATTTATTGCTGAAGAGTCCTAATAAGGATGATTTTCTCCTTACTGGGCAAAATCAAAGGCAGAGTGTTGAAAATATTTTGAGTGTTGAAAATATTTTTTATCTCTGCTATTTTCTTTCGACGTTATTCAATAATCATTGGTTACTTATGAACCTCTACTAAAGATACCCATAAAATATTTTGCTGAATATCCGAATATCTTCTATATCCTGGGATATAGACGGACATTTGGTTGGATATCCATATTGGATATACTGAATATTCACAAAATATATTCTGTGGATATCTCTGTGATTTCTTGTATTTTCTGGAAGATACCCATTAGATATTTTCCTGAATATCCATTAGGATATCTTCTATATCCTGGATATAGACGGACATTTGGATATCCATATTAGATCCACGGAATATTTCTGATATCCTGTGGATATATTGGATATCCACAAAAGATATTCAGCGGATATCTCTGGGATTTGGTGTGTTGTCTGGGTTCCAGTCTATAAGCCATGATCGAGGAAAACAGATACAAATCAAGCCCGTGATAACTTCGCACAGCTCTGAATTAAATTCAGACGGACACGTAAAAAAAAAGATCAATTTTCGCTCCGAAATTGTGAATTTGTCCATGAACAACTTTAGAAACATTTTTTGTTGAACACTCTATATAGATAACAACATATAATAAACAAACTAACCTCCTAAAATAGCGGTTATACTTTTTTTAATCCAAAAGATTGTTGAACCATAGATCTTTTTAACTGATCCACCACATTACTTTTTTCCTTACAGAAGAATGTGATTCTGACTTAGAAATAGAAGACAAACTAAAAACCCCCAAATCGGCTATTTTTGAGACTACAAGAATTAAACCGTTACCGTTATTGACAGCTAGAACGACTGCCCATTCGAACAAACTAAATTCTTACTCAACTGATATTTATGTATCTCTACTAGACTCTAGCGTAAGTACGAAATAGTATATTACAAAACAAGAGTTGTAAGTAGTTTATTATGGGTTAACAACTTGTGTTGAGCACTTTACTTTTTCTATGACCACTATATTTCTAATTAAATTAAAGAAATTAGTGTTTTTATTTATTTTACAATTGAATGGTACTGGGGCAAAAAGATGAATATCCGAAAGCCGAGACTAATATGCGAATTCATACCTAAAATACCTTAGAATCTAACAGTTTCTTCAAACTAGTTAAAACCAATGAGCGTCACAAATTACAACGAATTTTCATAAACGTGTTCAGAGCAATAGAGATGAATATCCCACTATGTCGGTGAAAAAAGATGAATGTCCACCGGCAATGGGTATTTAGTACAGAACAAACGTTTAAATTAAAATAACATTCACAGTTACTTACATACTTAGTTACTTAGAATGGGATCGTAATAAGGAAATAATTAACCATAAGGCTACCATAGAACTTTATCTGAGTGAAATAAATATATTCAGAATGCCAAGACAAAGCCCATGCCCATTCAATTTAATAGACTGCGACAAACAATATTGTCATGTGAATGCCTAAGCCGTCCTTGTATAGCACGACCTTCAGCCTGCCACTCGACTCATGGTCAAAACACCGCTGACGTATAGAGACAAACGCTCCGCGTCTCGAACCTACCAGAAGAAGCAATATGTGACCGTTGAGTCATAGAGATGGAATTCTAGGACATTCCACATCGTCTAGAAATTTCTCGTACAGGATTGGGCTTGGTATAAATAGCACGATTTATTGACGGACGAGTAGTTTTGAATAAAGTGTTGGACAGAAAAGTTAAATTGCAATAAATAAATTAGAATTGTGAGTTAGTGTCTAAGTATTATATAAATTAATTAGTACGTCATAAATAAATTGTATATAGTGTGTTTTAAATAAATAAACTATAAATAAATTAAACTATCGTTACAATATATTTCGATTCTTACAAGATACTTTTATAAAAAGTTTCTCTTTGTGAGCAGACCAATTAAAGAAATTAGAACATTGTAAGAAATGCCCAGGATGATATATTATTGTGAATCTTATAACGGAGTCTTCACTGCTTCTGTGGTAATCTTAACCAAACGCAATGAAATCCTGAAGTATCTATTGGTCAATTTGAGTTACCAAATGTAAAATACCACCGGAAAATTCAAGTACCGGAATCTCCGAGACTTGAAAAAATTTTGCGAAAGTCCAGACGCAAGATATTAATTTTCAAACTTAACCTCAAGCCAAAATGTTGATAATCAATAATCACATTAATAAAGAATACATTTATCAACTGCACCTTTCTTTTCCTCTCAGTTTTATACAGACATATCAACGTGATATACTTCATAAATTATTTTGGAAATACAATTGGTATTGTCGTTATACACAAAAATAATTGAATTTTCAATCTTTTTAGATGTACGATGTACAAGTTTACAAATTTTTAAAATTCGATCTCTCATAAATTTTTTGTGACATTCATCTTTTTACCCCTCTATTCACCTATAACATTAATTTAAGAATGTGAATACATTTTTTAATGAATTAATTAAATACTTATTCCATTGAGGCAAGCTTTCTTCCCCCTTGGCTTTGTATGTTCATGATGTTCTTTTCGCCTGGTACCTCTACTCCTTCTTATTCTTAATGAATTTATCTCTCGGATGGTACCGTAAACTGGGGTTACTTTGACTTTATGTGATACTTTGACACCTTTAGGGGCTATTTTGACTTCAACGGTTTTCTCTAATTGCCGTTCGAGCGCGTGGAGGGGATTGAGCGCGCGCCAACAGGTTTTAGCCACGCCACACGCCACAACGGTCTCCAGTGTGTAGGGATTTTGCGATACCAGTAAAGTATCGAAAGGAGTATCGGAAGCAAAGTATCGATACCGGTATCGAAAGGGTATCGGAACGAAGTGTCGAAAGCGGCAACGAACTTTTTACTCAAAATGCACACAAAATTTTTTTCTACGATCACATTATTTTAAGAAATAGATATAAAAACTGAAAATTTGTCATAAGTAGTGTATAATGTGTTGCCTATATCTACGCTATTCATGAAAAAAGGAGTTGATATTCAAAGTCAATGTTAACTTGGATAATAAAAGAAAAAACATCAAACTAAGTACAAATAACTTCAAAATCATTTATTAAAAAGAAATATTATATTATATCTAATTTAAATTAGGCGTGCGACAAAGTAGCTGTCAAGTTTTTCGCTCGGCAATCGATAAAGCTGTCACTTAATGCCAGTTCGCGGAAAACGTCAACTTTGCGGTTGAATTTCGAAGCGCAAAAGTATACTTTGGATAGTGATCGTAGAAAACAAATTGTTTCAAATTATGATATTTTTCATAAATCACTGCAAACTATTAAAAATAACATAAGACTATAGATCTTTTCTCTATCTAAATTTCATTGTTTTTTCTTTTTTTTTAAATGTGTATTTGTTTTCCATTGTATTATGTTTTTAAATATATTTTTAATCTTCTGATGCAATTATGTTTCTCACTGTATTTGTATGTTTTTAAATCTATTTTTAATCTTTTGATGCAATTTGTCTTTTTGTATCTTTTTTTATATCTTTGTCTATACTGTCTTTTGCTGTTGCCATGTACCAATCAGATTATATTTGTAGTGTACTGCAATAAATAAATAATTAATGATCATTTTTTTACAGATTAATTCCTCGGAATATATATGTCGAATCTGTCACGGCGGAGAAAGTATCGACGATCTCTTAACACCCTGTAGATGCAGAGGAACCGTCGCTTTGGTACATTTAAAATGCTTGGAGAGATGGCTCAAGGACTCACAGCATAGTTCATGTGAACTATGTCAACATCATTACAAGATTGTCAGGAAACCCAAGTAAATTGAGTGAACAGTTAAAATATACAATAATTCACTAGATTGATTATGTTTCTATCCTTAAATCTGTAGGCTGGCTCACGAGCTAGGAGGTGCATATCATCTTAGGAGGATGCACAATGGGCCTAATGAGGCCTAAGTGCCGTGGGGGTAACCCACCCTCCACACGTTACAGATACAGATATATGTTTCTACCCGTTGTTACATTTGAAAATAATAAAAACTAGTGCTTACTTTTAAACGTTTTTAGATATAGCGTAGTATGTTCCATTCCTGCTTATCTAAAAGACAACGGACCACAACTAAAAGAAGTTCTATTAGATCTATTCGCCTTTGCAATATATACTCCGTCAGCCGTTGCTTCGACATACATGTTGATGGTGCTTTGTGAATCCCTAGTAAAGTCGAATATTGTAACAACTGGAACGTTTTCATCGCATCTCTTGGCATTTTCAGCCGTTTTTGGTAAGATTCGACAGAATAGCAGAATTAATTAATGAAATGTCAGATACACCAAAAAAATAGTTTTTTTTAATTCACAACCTCTTTAATCTCAACATTTATCTTTTTCTACACCCACATTGATATTAGCTATTCTACGTACAGACTACAAAACGAAAAAGTGGGCCATTACGTTCAACTGAACGAGTATATATTTCATATCCATTCTACCTAGTAAGAACACAGCATGGATATGAAATCCACCAATCACAGTTTATATTTGGCTACCAGGCTACTATTTTTTTTTTAAATATTAAACGAGTGACAAGTAATTCTGTCAAACTAATTTTCAGTACCTATATTTTTTAGTTATTAGACATTCCAAACAAAATGGTTGTCGTGGGAAGGGTTGGTATATCTAAGGGGTTGCTACATACGATGTATTCTATCTACAACACGTGAAATCATGAATAATGGATTATATTTAAATTTTTTTAAATCAAACACAATGAAAATATAAAAAAACTATATATACATTTTTCATAAATCAGCAGGCTAAAAATAACGTCAAAGATGGAAAGCTACGTCGCAACCCCATTAGATATAAGTGCCATAGTGCCCTTACCACGGAATCGTTGGAATGCCTAATTAAGATTAAATATATTTAAAAATTAATGATTCTTGGGAAGAATAGATAAATAATGGCATTCGATAAGATATTCATCTCATCAATATTAACAAATATTAATAAAACTATCTAAAATCAATTTAATTAAAAGTATTAAAACTAAAAAAATAGTTGTCTCGTCGGTGTAGAGGTGGAATACTGAGATGCCATGCCATCCAGGATTAAAGACTAATTAACTAAAATCTTTTTTTTTCCATTTTTATTTTATAAATCAGTGAAAGTCGTAGAAAAAATATACTGTACTACTATTGTTGTACTAAGGAGCAGTCTTCTCACCACTGAGTAAAGTAACAAGTAGCATGTTAATGACAAATTAACATATTTAAAGATTTGGAACTAATTTAAGAACTATAAGAAATTTAATATTATTATATTATCATCATCAGTAAGGATCATACCAACAGAATAAAAAATTTCAGATTTATCATAGAAATAATAAGTTATACAGGGTATCCTATTAAAAATTTAGAGACCAAAATTATAGGGTACTATTAGAGATATGTTACTTCTACACAAGTCAGGTACTAAGGGTATTCCATAATGATGTTACAATTTGCAAAAGAATGTTCTAACAAACTATTTAAGAATGTTTTCCTTATATACTTTTCAAATTGAGTTCTATCACTTAACAATTTAAGTCTCACAGTAATATTGAAACGTTTTTGTTGGAATTGACTTTTAAAGAAAAAACTTCTAAAATAAATAAAAAGAGAGGTTGTACTCATCAGAAACAAACTAAAAGAAGAGACACCATCACAAAATAGGGTTTTATTAGCGGATAATGTGTACCTACCAAAATTACAATTTCTATGTGTAATCGTTTTCAAGAAGTATAATAAATTTGTATAAATAAGTATAATAATTTGTTTTCGTCACTTTGAGACTAAAATATCTCGACAGAAAGGACACAAGTTATAAAATTGTATAAGAAAATCCCCTTTAAATTGTTGGTAGAACACCCTGTTAGAATAATGGAACATCATTACGGATACCCTTTTTATCTAAAAATATATAACTGCTATAACAGCAAAAATATATACAGATTTAATTGTAGGCATGGCCGCCATAGATTTCACATATTCTTCTTGGTTGCTGTACACATGTCAGAAACATCTAGAATCTTGGAGGGACTGGTATCACAGTAACACAACGTTGAAAGTGGTCTTGTCGCCCATCAAGCTACGACCACACAAAAAACTCAAGAACTTGGTAAATCATTCTTAAGAAGTTTGAAAATTTTACAAAATATTTTGCAAAAAAAGTGATACCAACAAAAATAACTGTTGATATTGACAAAAGACGAATTCTTGATTCCATCCAAAATCCAGCATTGACCTAATATACAGATTCAAAAAATATAGGTCGGTGTTTATGTAAGACAATTTTACTGATTTTTCTCATTTAATTTCATTTTCATTTGTAATATACACCTAAATTATCTAAACTATTGTTGTTTTATTTTGATTTGTGCAATTTGACAACATTAAGATTGGTTCCAACTGGCATCGTCAAGGTAAGATCATTTATATGTTAAATGGGACCTTAAACTGGACTGTTGGTACACCATCCTTGCGTTCCAAGCCTCCATTTTTGTTATTTTATCGATTTTCTCTCTCACTTCGTATAATACTTCTTGTAGCATCTCTTCTGTTATTTATTCCTTCCACTGAGCCGTATACTTATTGCCATTATTTTTCAACTTATCTCTTTAGAAGGTTAAGTATTAGCTTTTTGTTCATTTCCTTAGTTAATATTATAATCAAAAATTTAAAATTTTTGTCAATCGATGTGTTAAAAATGTTAATAATATTTAATATTACCATAATGACGCCCTATATTTGGTTACAAAAACAGTCTTCCAAATTTATTACTAGATAACATGAAATTTGATTCTCCAATATTCAGATTTATAAAGTTAGAACACTCTAAAACAGTTTTATTTATTAATGATTATAACCACACAATTTATTGACTTTTTTTGGAGTTTAGAAGTAGAGAAAAAATATTGTATTTTTCAGAAGTAATTTATTTATCAAAAAGTTTATCTAACTTTTTAAACGAAAACGTTTTAGTTCGAAAATGATTTTTATTTAGTCGTGGTCACTTGCTAATAAACCAAGAATTACAGAAGGTAAATTAATTCTTTACATTTTATATTAGTTCATACTGCCCACTCTGTCACCCTTTTTAACCGACTTCAAAAAAAGGAGGAGGTTCTCAATTCGGGTGTTGGCCACTTGGTCGCCGCGGTTAGTTTTGTCAGCGGGGTTCCGTAATCTCATCGACCACTTGGTCTCCAGTTTTAAAATCAGGTAGGCCTCTTGGTCGCCGTAGTTATCAATCATTAAAGGTATCTATTTCGATTTATTGAAAATATTTTTAAGAAAAAAATAGTTTAACTGATTTTTATTATTTTCCACGTGAATAGAAATTTTTAACTGATATGATATGGTACAGAATGTGGGTCAGGAAAAGAATAAATCCAAATTAAAAAAACACTTATAATTAATAGAAAACAATATAAAATTATACATAATAAAAAAAAGTAGGTACAAAATACACAAAATACCAAATAAAAATTATTTAAGAAACCCAAATTGCAATTAGTTTTTGTAATGATAAGAAACTACTTTGATAAATTGAGTTCGTGAAAGGATCTTATTTTTATATTGTTCTATTACGTTCGTTAAATACGCATGCCGTTTTTTGTAATTAGCGTTTTTAATTTTGTTAGGTATATGTGTACTGTTTAATTTCACATAAGTATTTAACTGAATATCGAGAATTACATTAACAAATTTGAATATATCGGGATGCGCCGAATAAAAAGCAGAATTAAAATGTTTGTGGAAAGACTCACAAGCATTTGTTGTGCGTTCTGTGGAACTTGTGCACGATGCCCACATTGTAGGCGGGAAGTCAGACGTATCGCTAGTATACGTATTAATCATATAAAGAGTATATGAAGTTAATCTCTCGTCAAATGGCATTATTGGAATTAAATCTTTACAAAAACACTCTGCCACTTTAGTACTTTCCAAAAATAAAATGCCGAAAGTGTAATGAAGCGATTTGCCGATTTCAGAATTTTCATTTTTATATTCGGAAATCAAACCCAGATTTTGTATCTTACGTAACCACGATTGGGTTAAATGAAATCTACATCCAATAATTAAGATATCAGGCCAAATCTGTATAATACCAGTGTGTATGGCTTTCTCAAAATCGCAAATAACTTTACACAGCTTCCAATCTAAATTTAAATTATTATAACAGTAATCTTTTAATAATTTAAATGCAGTTGCATAGGTACTTGCTCTTTTATCTGGTAAAACAAAAAATGCCAATGGTATGTAGTGTCCGTTATCAACAGCATGTATAGTGAAAAATTGTAAAAAAAATTTAGGGCAATAATTAAATGTGCCGTCGCAATAAATACTATCACGAGAACACAAGTATTTTAAATTTGAATCACATGAAAATAAAATAATTTGTGAATCTTCATTGTTAAATAATAAAAATTGTTCACCCTTATTTGTAACACATTGTATTGCTTTCAGTACACTATGAACATCACTGATACACTTTGGCAAAGGTGGCAATATACTTCTTCTTGCCCTGTATATGCTTCGTCTGATGAGGTCAACATCCGTAGTGGATACATTAAAAGTATTTCCTTCCCCTCGGATTCCGTTATTAATTAACTTACTGGGGTTTAACGCAAATATCTTCTGTTGCCTTTCTTTTCAATCCGTTTTGAAATTTTTTTACATCTAAATGGTCCGATGGTGGATGATTGTGTTCACTCTTAGATTTCAATAAGACAGTTTCCGAATCGTCCACTCCAATAGTCGCTTTACACCCACGACGAGTACACTTATATGATACACCTAACTTTGTTTCCTTGTCTTTTCCAAATGTATATTTTTTTACAATTAACAACTTTTTTCCTTTTACACTTAACATCGACTCCATTGCAACACAAACTCAAAACTTCTTTTATGGAATAATGAATAAGATGAGAATCACTTTTAAAATAAAAAAAATTAATCTTTTCAGTAAGAATGCAGACAATTAACTGATGAAAAATATTTTTATTTTAGTTCTCGACAGGTCACAAACCGATATTATAATTAGAGTAATTAAATAACCCCATAATTTTCTTGGAACCCTTAATTCAGGTTTGGAGACCAAGTGGCCTATACCTTTCGAATAGCGAAAGGATTAAATTTGGGTAAAACTGACCGCGGCGACCAAGAGGTATATTCCCCTCAATTCGTCGTAATATTTTGTTTTATGTACATTCAGCGATAATTCTTTACCACGGTGTCCGATTTCAAAAATTCATTTTTTGTTAGAAAGGGGGTACTTCAGGGGTGGTCCCATATTAATTTGGTCAAAATCTAATAATTGGGTCCATTAGAATATCTTCAAACTCTTCATTTTTTATGTATGTTTAGCGATAATTATTTACTACCTTGTCCGATTTCTATGAATCTAATTTTGTTAGTAAGGGGGTACTTCAGGGGTGGTTCCATTAAAATTTGGTTAAAACGTAATGATGGGGTCTATGAGAAAATCATAAAACTCTTTATTTTTTATCTATTTTAAGCTGTCTTTATCACGTCTGATTCTTTTTTTTTTGTTAGATAGGGGGTACCTCAGAGGTAGATCCATATACAATTGGTTAGGATCTGATGAACTATGAGAAAATACAAAATCTCAATTTTTAAGGGCATTGCACAATTATGAAGTCGGTATAATTAAAAAATTATACCTATTAAAAATGTGCACATGTCCTTGACCAAGTATTTTTGGATTACTCTGTGGTTGATTTTTCTGGTTCCTTGTGACACAACCGACGAGATAGGTCTTCATTAAACAGTCATTAGCTATTGCTATTCGTAACTTCTCTTTATCCTATCAATGTCTGAGTTCCACAAGGCAGCGTGTTTGTGCCTGTCCGTTATCTTATTTGTCTTATGTATATACAGGGTGACACACCAAAAACTTCCTACTCTAAGTATCTTCCTTCCAGTTAATTATATGAAAAATCGCAAAAACCCGCCAATTTTATTTTCAAGGGGGACACCTACAATGAATATTTTTAAAACTCGTGACTCAACTTCCTAAGAGGGTTAGATGTTACTCTTAAAATCTTAAATGGGAAAGGGGGTCGAGTGGTACATCATTTTAAAGGGCGTTTAATTCGCTTTCTAATGGTAACATAATTTATATTATCTTCTAACCAGCAGGTTGAAACGTGCCTGCACTGAGATTTTCGGTTTTCATGTTAGTATTTAAACAATAATTATTGTATTGGGTATCCTTTTAGAAGAAATGGTTAGAAGATTAGGTGGCACCAAACTTTTGCATTTAAAAGTAATCTAATAGTAAAATTTCGATGGCAACTAGACTGCATTTATCAAAATGGTGTTTTTTTTTCATTCTTATTGTTGAAATTCCACATATAGCCCGCCTTTTTTGCTATTTATATTTTTTTTAAATAGCGCGTCTATGTGAAGTAAAATAATTGTTTAAAATTTTGACCATTTCTTATTAGTATTGTTAATCCAGTTTTACTTGTTGGGCTGTTCAGAGATATCGTTAATTAAGAGAATAAACTGCAAAAATGGTTTACTCTCTACAGGGAAAAATCGAAATGATTTTTGTTTATGGAGAGGTTGGAAAATGCGCACGACGGACAGCATTTCTTTTTAATGAAAGAAATCCTCATCGTAATGTAAGTCATTCTCGATTTGGTAGCAAAGTTTTTGGAAACTGGTTCGGTGAAAAATAGGAAAAGAAATAAATACCAAATGAAGAAGCTCAAATTGAGGTTTTGGGAACATTTTTTGCAGTGTCAAGTAGCTCCATACGAACAGTAGCAGAATAGACGGGAATATCACGCGAGAAGAGCACTGAAAATGCATAAATTTCATCCCTATAAAATGCAGATATTTCAAGAGCTTTACTAAGATGATTTTATTAGAAGAATAGAGTTTTATAAAATCATAATTTTTTCTGAATGGCAATGTTAATAAACAAAATTGTCTGTACTGGAGTGACGAACACCTGCATATTATCCAAGAAGGGCATACACAACGTCCGCAAAAAGTTAAAGTTTGGTGTGGTATTGTGGAAATGCAATTATTGGTCCTTTATTTATTGAAGGAAACTTGACAGGCGATCTGTACCTTATTATGCTTGAACAGACTATGATCCTTTTATAACTCACGAGCTAGAAATTCAAACTGACGCAGAAGGTAATTTAGTTTTACAGGAGGATCAGTTACATTTCCAGCAGGACGCTGCTACACCTCATTTTTTCTTCCTGTCCGACAGTAGTTAAACGAGAGATTCACGCAGTTGGATTGGCACAAGGCGAGCAATTGAATGGCCCCCAAGGTCACCTGATTTAACTCCCTTAGACTTTTTTCTTTG